CCATTACTATCTATTCCTAAACCTTTTTCATTATTCCTTGGGAGAGTTCTTCACACTTAACTTTGTATTATAAAAGAGCAATGGCAGCATGCGGACAGCTGAGTCTAACCTCTATTAACTCCACAAAGGGAAACTGTCTTCATCAACATCCACAACCAAGTGTAAAGTTGATCCCCATATAGTCAGACATGTTGCTTCTCCCCACCGCGTTTTTGCACCTACTTCTATTAATCATAGGGTCCAATATTCATTGCAAATGGCCACATAAACTTAACTTGCTAGGAGATGCTATTGTTTGGAGAGGGACATCATGTTGGGAAGGATGGAGAGTCAGCGAAGGAGAGGAAGACCCTCAACTAGGTGGATTGATATGGTGATTGATACAATGGACTTTGTGTATTTCAGGAAGTGTGAGGACAGGGCAAGATAGAACATGGTTCAGATCTTTCATTTAGTAGGGTTGCTATGACTCATGATCAACTTGATGTCACCAAAGAACAAAAACAACTACTACTATATCACATTTTATTTATCCTTTTTTGATAAATGATATGATAAATGTCAAAAGCTTAAATAATATAGAAAATATTAAAAGCTGAAATTGAATTTTATAAGAGAGGAGAGAAAAATCTGCATTTCAAAGTATTCTAGTAGCTTAACAAATTTTACTTCTTTAATACCCATGAGAAAATCTAGTATCTTTATAATGAATGCTGTTACTTTTAAGTGTTATCCTATTTATTATAACTCTTAGTGACCCTATAAACAACAGATATAAATCTTGCCCTATCTTGTGATGTCATTGCTATTTCTGACATACTTGAGATACCAATGTTACAATAGCTGTATCAATCCTTTTTGTTGACAGTTGATGACATAACAACAAAAGTGAGCAATTGTGAGTCCACTTTCTCAAATTATTTGCTCAGTATACAAATTAAATAGGTGTGAATAAATGGTACCACTCTGTAGCACACATTCCCTGATTTTAAACTTTTCCATATCCCCTTATATTCAATTGACTCCATCTGTGGAATGAGTCACCGGAGAAGATCAATATCAGCAGGTGAAATAAGGCCAGGGCTGACTGTGGGGCAGAGCATCAATCACTCACGGACAAGTTTAAACTCAAGCTGAAAAGATTAAAACATGTCCATGAGAGACAAAATACAACCTTGAGTCTACTTCATCTTAATTTAAAAAAAAAATCTCAAAAATAGATTTGATACATTGAATACTAAATGACTAAAGACCAGATGAGTTGTGGAATGACATTAAGGATATCATCCATGAAGAAAGCAAAAGGTCATTTCAAAGACAGGGGAGAAAGAAACTATAAAAAAAAAGTCAGAAAATATTCTGAAAAATTCCACTAGGAAGGGGAAAGGCTAAAAGTAAAGGAAGAAATGCGGAATTAAAAATTGTTGTTATAGTTAGTTTCAGTGTTGTCCTCGCCCTTGACACAGGTGTCTTGACCCACTTATTTCCCTGCTCCACCATCCACCAGCATCTCCACACACTCCCACTCACTCCCTTCAACACCTATCTCGTGTTGTCCAGCCCTTGATCTGATGGCTTATTTCTCAAGCTTTATGGGCTTCTGGGATTCCAAATACTTCAGTGACTGACAGTTTCTTATCAGTGTCTCTCAGTTTCCCAAGAGAGGGTGATGTGTCCTTTTAGATCTGATAGATTGTTTCCATGGCCCAAGGGCCTTTGGCTCCTCCTTGACCTCTGGGTCATCTTTACCTGCAGGGTGGGGGTTGCTTAAGTCCAAAGAACTGGAAAACAAATTCAAGCCTTAAATTGAAATACTGAACAAATCTTCATAATACAAACCTTTTAATCAGAACTTACTCAAACTGAGTTTCTATCACCTAGTAGCAAAGATTATTGAAGGACTGTCAAAAGAACAAGAAATCTATCTTGGAATTTGAGGTGCCTGTTTGGAGCCAAGGATATTGAAACTTCATCTCACTTCCTTTGAGCATGTTCTTAGGAAAAGCCAGACCATGGAAAAATATATCAAGTTTGGAAAAGTAGGTCAGTCAAAAAGAGGCAGCAGAAGAGGCCTATGAACTGTGGCATTAAAGAAAAGGACTGAATATACCATGAACTGCCAAACAAACAAACAAAAACAAAATCTGTAGAGGAGGAAGTGCAATCAAAACGCTCCTGAGAAGCAAGGATGATGAAACTTAGGTTCAAGTGCTTTGATAATGTTGTCAGGAGGGGCAAGTTGTTGAAAAAAGACATCAAACTGGAAAAGGTTGAGTATCAGAAGAAGAGAGGGAGACCCTCAACAAGATGATCGACACTATGACTGCAGCAATGGGCTTGAGCATGGCAGAGATTGGGAGTATGGCTCCGAATAGGGTAAGGTTTTGGTATGTTGTTCAGAGAGTCGCCATGAGTCAGAGTCACTGAAGGACACCTAACTACAACAACAACACAATGTACCTTCAGATCATTTCCTCCTCTGTGGCTGTCATTGTTTATCTAAATGCAAATAAGGCCATATTACTATCTCCTAACTGAAAAATCTCAGACAAATGATTGTGATCAAAATACACAAAGTCACCACACTTACCTCTGCAAGACATTCTTTGCATATTAGGAGTTTGTGGTTCACTGAATACACTGTGTTGCTTTTCAAAAGCTTGGAGTTTTTTCTTTGTAATACTCTGTGTTTGCACTTGCTCTTTTATTTTTCAACAAAACAATTCTTTACTAATTTGCTTAATAATTTAGGCAATTATTTTTTGCCATTTATCATACAAAATGACCTTTTTTAAAATTATAAAACTTTTAATTATGATTTTAACAAAAGTTTACAGAAAAGTTGCATTTTCACTCATTTATTGTTGCACATTTCCCCCCTCGCCCTTCTTCTCCCTCCCCAATTCACTTTTTTTAATAATTGTGCAACAAATTTATACTTTCTTTTTTTAATTTATACTTTTTAAAAT